GGGCCAGTTTCAAGAACTGGATGATTGTCGCACTAAAAGGTTGCCTTTTGGATATGCTGTTGAACAGAAAAAACTCCAGGTTGACCTTACACAAGTCGATTTGAAAAGAACCCACAAAGTTATTGACAAGAACGACAATTTTCCTTTCTCATTTGCCCACAGCATTGCTTAGTTTACGAAGCCAAGCTTTAATGGCATTCTGCGCCATCTATGCACCTCTGTCTGCTCCGCACTGGACTTCAAATAAGCTCATGTATAGATTTTTGAGACAACTCGCTTTTATGACTTCCTCCACCACCAAGGACATCATAAACGAGAGATTCAATTGAGTCTCCCGTGAAAACCAAATTGATTTGCAAATGAGTATATTTCTCGAAAACAGTCCAATTTGGGTTCAAGTAGATCATAAGGTTGACGGAAACTCGGGGACTGCGCCTACCTGATGAACCCTAAGAAGGGCGAAACCGGTCGTGGGCTGTCGAAGAGTTTTCAGCAACCTTGTGAGTAGTTTCCTTTATGAAAAGTGAGATTGCTTTTCTCCCGTGGTGTTTCATGCCATCATTATCGCGCATTGACATTGACATTTCTTTGTTCATGCAAAATACTACACATGTACACGAATACACATATGCAAATTCACAAACGAGACTCTTCGTGAGGACATTTTTGTAAGAAGCGCACGCCCTGTGTCAAGGTTGCAAGCGCGTTCTGTTCCGCGGCCTTTACACAGGTTCGACGAGTATGCCCCCCCTGTCTGCTAAAGTTTCGCCCAAAACCCTGGCGATTTCCGTAGTCACACCTAGAACTAACGCATGAACGCTCTTAGATTTATGCAGCAATGCTGTACTTGTTTCCTTAATTTGAACGGCATGTCACACTGTCTTTATTGCAATATGGAATCTGTTCTTTCGGAGTGTCATCATAGGCTACTCACAAACTCCAAACTTGGTGTCCTCAAATGCAGCCTCTCTGGTAGTTAGATTCTTCCCGAGTTCCGCTGTTGGAGTGTTCCTTTTGCCCTTGATAATGTTAAGTACCTGAAATTTACTGAATCCAAAGTGGGTGGCTATGGAGCCAGTTGTTTGCTTTTTATTTTCTGCTCAATCGCTATTAGATTTTGAATTAAATGTAAAAGTCGCCTCTGGCTCACTCGAAGAGGTGAACAAACAGGCCGTGGAAGTGACTGTTTCACGACAATGTACTTAAGAAACGTTGGGCGAACGTAACTGGCGCTGATTATTGGTCGTCACCAGAGAAGAATCCCCCGATAGATCAAAGGTGTAACGGTGCTTAGATTCAACGGTCCACTCACCGTAAGCGTAGCATAAAAGTGGAATTTTCAAAACTAACAGTACGTTCATGTTGCTTTTTATCAGAAGTGGGTGAGTGCGTAGTAAATAATTTACAAACACAGAAAACAGACCGCCCTTCATTGGAGGTACGCTCCGTTCGGAGACCGTCTTGTTGGAGACGAAGTCGCCGTACACATTATGTGCCTATTACGAACCTCAATAAGTTCCCCTTTTCACCGACGTACGGAGTTTGCGGTCAACTCAACTTTCTTGGTGTTAGCATTCGAGAATTTGGCCAAACGAAAGCCATCCTGATGTATCTAGTTATGATGAGAGCTCACGAGCTAGCCCTTCACTGGCTCAAATGAATTGTTATGCTGTGCACTGGGAAAGCATAGCTCGCCAATAAGTTACGATTGGCAACTGCAGTTACGACCCCGAAGCACCACTGATTGTATCCACGAGGATTACACACATAAAATGCCGCTCAGAGACAGTTAGCGGTTTGATCAGTGGTGTTGCGTGCCCTTCCAAGTTAAAACTGCTTGAAAATTCAATAGAAGCTGCCTTGATTGATGTATGCATAAAATATTAATGAGGAAGTCAACAGACACGCGGGTTTTAACAGAACTTTGTGTACTACAGAGGCGTATTTCTGCCGATCAATACTCATTTTGCTTAGTAGCACAATAGACGAACTAGCTGGTTTCAGTTCATCAGCACGATGGTTGAGTAGTTACGATGTGATAGGGGAAAATCGTGATCAATAGCGGGCTAGGGATGGGAAGAAAGGCACAGGAAGCCCTTGAGACAAGCTGATGTGAATGCACAATTTTTCAGTCACGAAAAAACGCAGATAAACCACATGAAAAATAGGTTACATGAAAACTAAGAACCGATGCATTCTGTGTGTGGTTGTTGGTAGCGTGTTCCTAACCCAGACAAAGTTAATATGGTCGTAAGCTTCCACGGCTAGACCAGGAGATAGTTGGCTTCCCTTACAACGATCATTGTCACGTGAACGTTGAATCCACAACAGAATGGAGTGGAAAGCAACGTTTTTTCCTCAAAAGCAATTGGGGAATAGTGGGAAGATTGGGTAAAAGTGACTTTTGAGTGAGGTGGAAACTTAAAATGAGCAGGGCAGTAAACCCCGATAACAGTTTAAATGTGAATAAATTTTTCGTATTGAATTCGGTTTCTACATAGGTTAAAGGGAAGAAATATTAGAGGGTGGTTGAGGGCTTTTTAGAATTTTTACTCGCGTGCACAAACTTGACAGTTCATTCGCCTGCGCTAGCAGCCAACCATCCCATCTGATTATGGTAAAACTCGCTGATAAGGGAGATCACCTACCGGGGGATTGTGAGTGTATCGATGATTTTTACCTGGTATATCAAGTTCCAGATTGGGGGATTGAAAGCAGCTGATGGAAACAACGTTTCGGGTATAATAACCATGAAGTAGCGAATAAAATGACGATGGAGATACAGGGATAGGGCGAAGTCTACACAATGGAGGGAGAATGTGTGCACTGGCGAAACAGAGGCTACTGAATAAGATAACGACTCCATACATATGAAAAATTATAGTTGTAGTACTTTGGCGGAGCAGTCTTACAGGGCTAGAATTAACAATATTGAGGGGATTGCTTATACTGACCTGCAACTGAACTATGTTCAGTTGCTTGTTGTACAAGCCATACGGCTACGGAGAGGGAAACTCTGAAGATCACCTACCGGGGGATTGTGAGTGTATCGATGATTTTTACCTGGTATATCAAGTTCCAGATTGGGGGATTGAAAGCAGCTGATGGAAACAACGTTTCGGGTATAATAACCATGAAGTAGCGAATAAAATGACGATGGAGATACAGGGATAGGGCGAAGTCTACACAATGGAGGGAGAATGTGTGCACTGGCGAAACAGAGGCTACTGAATAAGATAACGACTCCATACATATGAAAAATTATAGTTGTAGTACTTTGGCGGAGCAGTCTTACAGGGCTAGAATTAACAATATTGAGGGGATTGCTTATACTGACCTGCAACTGAACTATGTTCAGTTGCTTGTTGTACAAGCCATACGGCTACGGAGAGGTGAACTCTGAACTGCAGTAGCTAATTTGGTGGTGCCAATAGGTATGATGGACTCTAAACAGGAAGCTGAGCGGTTTTCAGTAGCAAAACCATCGCTGTTTTAAACGTCGTTAGCTAATAAACCTGTTACGAAAGTGACTGCTTGAGGTTTCGGGCTAGGAAACGCGATATATTTCGGGCGTATTTGGAGACTGCGATCCCGACTGTGGGTCCGCTACTGAGAGGTTAACTGGGCCGAACTCGCACTCTCTTTTTTTATGCGAAGGTAAAACGTAGTTTATGAATCACACTATAGGGTATTTCAGTACCCCGGTCACTTGTTTGACTTTGCTGTTCGGGCTTCAAAGCATCAATTGGGCCGAAAAAACGGTGGGAAAAAGTGACTTTCACTAACACAAAAGGGTCAATGGAATCGCCGGACACCTAACGACGTGTATATGTGGAACAAGTCCGTTCTCGTGCGCTTTGTCCGATACCAAAGCTCACTAATGATTTTTGCTTAGTCACCTAACGGGGATAGTTCAAGATGCTAATTGACGTAATGAAACCTGTGTGGTAGAGTCCCAACTTTTAGCATGTACGTAGAAGTTGGGTATGACGGCCTGTGGTAAGTTTGTGCAGGCAGGTGGTCCGGTTGGAAGCCAATTCAAAATAAGCAACGAGTTGATTAAATTACTAAAGCTGACTCGGAAGCTTCAGCGCCGTTGTAAGCGACAGTGTTTTCCAGGCTTTATTATTTGCGTTTGGAGATGAGTTCATCTGACGGCGGAACTGAAGAACCTGAGGATGGCCCAAAAAGGAATATGAAGCTAGACAGACGGTGTTGAACGAGGCTATCAAGGACGACGACGGTACCTTTGCGCAACATGAATACTGTCAAAACAATATATTCACATACAGATGCACACACAGAGATGCAGGGTCTGTCGCAATGAGCCTGCAATAAGTTACCAAACAAGTGGCAGTGATAGATCAGTACTTTGTCATCAGTTTACTCAACTCAGTTTACTCAATTACTCAACCATCCTGAAGTGTTAACGATAAGTAAGAAATTCACTTAGAAGAGGCATTCATTCAAGGAAAGTTAGTTAATCCCGTTCTGTATGTTGACCATATATAACATCCACTAGGAGGGACCGCTTGCCAAAGAGGCCGTAAAAAGAGCTGCCTACCAAGCAGGGGTGAATGAGCGAATCTATGGGAAATCCAAAAGCCTTATCTCTTGTAGGGTCCTTATAACTGAATCTAGAATGCCACTTTTGAGAAGAGGCATGGAATGCGGAGGAATGAAAATCGTTCAGCGGTAGGACTCTTTCGGTGCCTAACTGCCATGCCACCCTAAGGAGGCACGACGGCTGGAATAGTGCCAGACTGCCCAAGCCTTGACAGGGCAAGTCGGAAGGCAAAGGTCGGGTTCAAAGCACAGACCTTCAGGTCAGTAAACTCGCGCTCAAACCAATGAGCCATTTTGCCAGGTGAGTAAGTACACTTCCGACAGGCCACACATGACCCGTATTGAAATGCATTTCGAACTCCGAGGCGGGAATACACAAATTACCTTGGAGAAACAGGATGAACAGACATCCGCAGCATGCGCATGAAACTGACCTGATAACCAAATGACTGTAGGAGAAAAATGCGTATGGCATGAGAAAACCGAACATCGTGCTTTCGGGACAAGATAAGCTGACGAATCCTGCCCGTACAATATCCCCGCGGTCCGGCACACGGGTCGAAATGAAGCCCCGAAAGAGACCGTATCCTCGAAAATTCCGATCCGTTGCGGAGGACACCAAAGCATCTGAGGCTGCCTGCTTACTGCCCGGAAGTGGGCCACGTTTGGGACTGGGAGAATGAAAGGAGGGGAAAAATCGGTATGCATGGATTCTCCAACTGACAGTCGATCGGTCGGTTAGCAGTACAGTTATGAAAGATAGTAGTTATGCAAATGGAGGACAATGACTCAATTTGTGGTTTTTGTGTGCGGAATTATGGCCTGGCTGTACACTAACGTACTATGCTTTTAAACGTTTCAGATCGACTCTACTTGTGGGCTGAGAAGCACAATTAAATCAACTGATAGAGCTATATTTGACCCGACTGTCAAGTTTGATAGGAGGAGTTTAAGATAAAATAAGTCGGTAGGGTGACCGTACACATCAGGGATACAAGTAAGCTCGAGTTTGTTTTGTGCTGTCGATTAAGACAAGAAAAATGGGAAGCTATTCAGGGACTGCGAACATAAACGGACCGGAAATCAGTTGGATGATGACGACCACAATGCGGCAAACTTATCCCACATGTAGTCCACTGACAATCAGTTTCGACGGATGAAGTTGGAAACAAATGCGATTCCAAAATGTCTTCGAGGGGGCAGTATCAAGCAATGAATCTGTGGTGTGTACTGCTAATAGTGAAACGCAACAGCCACAAAAGTTCAAATGAGGAAGCGAGGAACTCTTGCGAACGCTGGTTCTGTTTCGCACATTGGAAATGACTAATTTTGACGAAGCATGTATAGTGGTTCAATGGAGGTGCACCCTTCTGAAGAGATGTACTCGCCTCTTTATCCTCAACAGCAGCCCATCATGGGAGGATCGTCTTGCATAAAGTAACTACCCTTTACGAAGGGACAGGCAAGGCCAGCGCTACTGTAATCATCACATACGTAGATGGTCGCCAGATTGGCGCGACACAGCAGCTAGCCAGAGTTCGTCATGCAACTCTGGAGAAAGTGCAGGACCGTCGCCGAGACGATGTAGTTCAGTGGCGTTGAAACGAACGTTAACGCTTATAAGAGGCATGCGGAGCGTTTCAGAAATGGAATCAAATTAGGGGGAAAGTTATACCGGATAAAAAAGACGCGAAAACACAGAAACACCTACTAGGTGGGAGGATATGTGTATGCAAAAGGATGATCAGCATTTTCCTCGCCAGGTGATTCATCGAGCATTGGTGCAAAAGTGCCGTCTACACCTAATGGAACGGCACATCCGGGGGCCGATCGAGATGAGCGTACAAACTCGGCCCAGGAATGGCCAACGCCCAATTGCTGGTCGGTGGTTACGCGCCACTGTGTGAATTCCGCGTCAGTGAGAAACGGAAAGCGGACAAAATAACGCGTCAAATTGGGAACGGGAGGCTGAAGGTGTGGATGGAGAGAACATAGACAATGATAGGAAAATAAACCATGTGGTCGATGGAAAACTCTTGTATGATCTGACAGTAAATTGGGATTATACTGAGCTTAAAAATAGAAACAATGGAAACAGTGGCTTCTGAGATCCTTAGAAAAATTCTTGAACCTATAAGGTGTTACGTGATATGAAAAGAGTACGAGAATGGCAAAACTATGTGAGTGTTCGATCCATAGATCGTAGGCCCAAATTTCATTGATGCGGAACAAACAATGGAAATGAAACAATCGTTCAGCTGCGACCCCTTTTTGTAGCGTGCCGCCAGGAGGCACGAGGGTTCGGATACTCCTGGATCGTCCAAACCTACATAGGATTAGTTGGGTTCGAACCACGAAACATCTAGCCAGTAAGTTCATGCCTTAATCACTGAGTTACCTCTAGGTCACGGAAGATGGAAGCTTGAGTGATCCTGTATTCGACAAGTGATTAGGTAGAGGTAATCAGCCAACCGTGCCGGATTCTCATCAGACATGTAGATTTAGACTTCAGGGGCCGTACAAACCTGAGGACTCTGCTGAACAGATAACAACAGGGGGGGGGGAGGATTTCGTGTCCATTTGGTTACGCGGTATAGTGGACATGATGCACCACACTAGTTCTCCACGAAAGACCTTCAAAAGGAAGGACGGTCAACAGCGTCACTCGCGTCAGTTCAACTTTCGCGTATGGTCTTCCGAAAACATATTCGTTCCTATAAGGGAGGTTATTCTTGAAGCTCGAAACATTATATCGAATGCAATCATGTGTACGTGAACCCATTGCGCCAACAAGAAGTAATTTTTCGTAAACCTAGAAGAGCGGCTAAGTCACAAGAGCATACTTCATGATCTACTTGGGGAGAATGAATGAATGAATGAATGAATTGAATGTGGGGAGGATTCGGGGTTACGCGGTATAGTGGACATGATGCACCACACTAGTTCTCCACGAAAGACCTTCAAAAGGAAGGACGGTCAACAGCGTCACTCGCGTCAGTTCAACTTTCGCGTATGGTCTTCCGAAAACATATTCGTTCCTATAAGGGAGGTTATTCTTGAAGCTCGAAACATTATATCGAATGCAATCATGTGTACGTGAACCCATTGCGCCAACAAGAAGTAATTTTTCGTAAACCTAGAAGAGCGGCTAAGTCACAAGAGCATACTTCATGATCTACTTGGGGAGAATGAATGAATGAATGAATGAATTGAATGGGGGGAGGATTCGGTAAACATTTTTAAGGGAACAAATTTTAAGGGGGAAATGCTCGTTAATTAAACAATGCGAGCAAACGCGATTCAAAATGTAAATATCTTTTAGTCTAATCATGTGCAAGGGTGGATAATACATACCTGGGATCACTACGGACCCGGAAACGCATGCAGTACAAAACACTAAAAAAGAGGATGCGCATTCTTACGGCTTACCACCAAAAATCGTTAGTAGCATGTGTCGATGATGATGATGATCATCATCATCTAGTTAGTTAGTTAGTATATATATATATATATATAATGAAAGCCCTAGAGAGAGAAGAAGAGAAAAAGAGTAGGTGAGGGGGGACCCAGTACTGGCCTACGTCAAGCATTCTGGGGAGCCTACACCTCCAACCGGTCAATCAGACAATCTGGAAAGAAACTGACAGCACGAACGCTGACAACCATAACATACACGACTAACAAGTGTCAACGAAGAGAGTTGGGTTGCGCCAATTGTACAAGTGACGGACTTTTGTCAGGAACGAGGGCCTAATTGCGTGCACAGTCCGTTGTGAGAACTTTCTGGTTGTACTGGATAACTGATGACACATTTAGTCCTTTTTTTAGTAAAACATTCAAAAACAGATTATCTCAAGCAGAGGCTTGTATGCAATCTGAACAGAATGTGACTCTACATATGAAAACTGTCATCCTTGTCACTTGTGAGGTTGGAATTACAGTGAGGGTAAAACAATATTCAATTATAAAACCAACGTAAACTAATTTGAGGTGGATAAGCCAGTGGCTTCTAGGTTAGTTCGGTGGCCTATTCAGATTACCCACTTGAATGAAGCGAGTGTCAACAACACTGTCCCAGCGAGATCACGGGATCCGGTAAAGCAAATCATGTGAGTGCAGACATTCGGCGAACTAACAACAGGATCATGTTTTTTGGGAAGCAAACGTGGGATCGTAAAACATAAGGCTTCCGTTTGGGTTCTGGCTGATACGTGACCGTTCAGGAATGCACTTCTGTGATATCGACCACTTCCAGGATTGGCAACAATTTGTCAGTCTTGTGCTTTCATATGGCATACTACAATCTACAATTCTTCTTTAACTATGAGGGAAAAGTCACAGCTAACTTACTGCGTAATCGAACGGATTCATTGAAAAGCCCTAATGTGGAATGACGGAACGCGGTAGGAGAGGGTGGTGGAGGGAAAAAGCTTGTTGACAGACAGACATGCGACATGGACACACGAGGTGCCCACATACCTAACGTTCGGTCGGAATTCGGGAACAGGAAGGAACTAGCCGTACGAACGCCAGTGATATTAGTTTGCTGCGGTATATCGCAACATATTCCCATCCTGGAGGAGAGTGTCACATGAATAACCCACATGTCACAAAATTTTAATCATGCGGTCCTCCTAAGTCAGGCTTCACCCGAGTTTTGGTTCAAATTAGGGAAACAAATTATACTGACCGACGATGACTACGCTAAAAAAGTGTGTGGGTGCCTTCATGAAGCAAAGCGCTCGATGCATCACGCAACACACGACTGAAACTGACGCCACTGAGCATTCGATGGTGCCGGTTCACAATAACGGAGGTTCTGAAATGTCGTTGGTCAAAGGTCCTAAAGCGTTTTATATCCTTCTACACATAGTCGTCGCCTCGCAACCGTATAACAACAAATCTTGCACTATTGTCTAATGCACGCGATCCCTGCGATCAAATTATGTACGGCTTGGAAGCTGTAAGTAGATGCGAATCTACTCTTTGAGAAGCGTTCACAGATTTTGCTCGTCACAACCTCATTAGAGCTGTTATATGTACCGAAGACTGCAAGGACACGCTTGAGGACTGTTCGCTCTAGAGCAGGATCTAATTCCTTGTGAATGCGAACAACCTGTCAAAGATAGGGCCCTGTGGGGGGCTTTTGGATATCGGCAAATCTATCGAATCTACACCCTGAAGTCCCAGGACATGAAAATTAACATAATTATGGAAGTGCGCTTTTAATCAGGAGGTATAAAAATTTGATTGACCGGTGGGTCAGAAGCGCTTGTTGCAGAGCGGCCATAGACTTTCCATCATCTTACGGCATGTAGTTAGTTCATCAGGATAACTTCCTTTCGTTGATGTTCGCTTTTGGTACCCTTAAGTAGGGGTGTTGAGTTCCCGGAGATTGGTAAAAAAAGGATTAGCTTCAATTCAAGGAAGTTATCAGGAAGGTCAGATTCCTGAAAGTATCCACTAAATGCCCCACATCTACCGAGACCCTCGACTCCACTAGATGCTGACCAGACAGACAACGTCCCCTCAAAATGCAGCGCGTCACAGCCTTGTACCGAATCCAGGCAGTGCGGGACAACGTTGGACCGAGGTCAGACAGTAAAATAGCCGTTGTATAGCCTTTGAGGCCTTTGTATTTTCGCACTCACGCTCTCGCATGGCTTGTTCGAAATAAAGCTGTTGTGCTCCCTTCGGTGAGCCTTTTTCCGGTAGTGGGTACTGGAGTGGAGTCGGCAGTCAGATACAACAGATTGGCGAATCAGCAGATACAACAGAGGTCTATGCTTATTAACGCAAAACACGGGTTTTCAGTAGACTACAAACAGCATCGCACGCCTCTGTTTGCGTACTTCATTGAATGTATCGATACACTCGCTATCCACTATCTGATTGGCCCGGTGGTGTTTGGGGTTGGTCTCCTTTTGTGTGCAGTATGGTACTGGAGGGAGTCGGCAGTCAGATACAACAGATTGGCGAATCAGCAGATACAACAGAGGTCTATGCTTATTAACGCAAAACACGGGTTTTCAGTAGACTACAAACAGCATCGCACGCCTCTGTTTGCGTACTTCATTGAATGTATCGATACACTCGCTATCCACTATCTGATTGGCCCGGTGGTGTTTGGGGTTGGTCTCCTTTTGTGTGCAGTATTGTCTGAGACAAAACACTGATAACTAGATAATGGGAACCCAGGTTTCCCTCCAGTGAGAAGCTCAGTTGATTCGTTGGAGGAGGGTTTTCATTAGTTGAGCGAGTCGTCAGCTTGTGGAGTATTTTACTCACTTTAGATTTTGTGTGGCGCAGTAACTCCACAGGAGGGCCACTTGTTCAACATGTGCGAGTATACATGATGCCCATAATTTAGGTTGCCAATGAATATGCTGATCCGTTGCTGAGACCCATATCAGATTTGCGTTGTCGGACAAAACAGTCGCCTGACACGGTGGACGGTGGATATTGGATACTGGCGTTATTGGGATCAGAAAATCCTAATTTTGCCGTGAAATCCACAAGTGCGTGCTGCACGAGAAAAGTATCAGCGAAAAGCGATTGATGTGTTAGTGGAATAAGTGAAGCACAAAATACCAGAAAAAAACCTACTAATATATCCACATGTGAGTCGACTAAGAAGATAAGTTAGGCAACATACAAAGGGAGGGTCGCGTTCTCGTTTCAATTCTGATTTGAATAAGGAAAATGAAGAAATATTACATAGGAGATAGCATAAACAACTGAGTGCTCACATCAAAACCCTCTTTGTTTCGTATTATCCGCCGCCGGAGGTCAGCCAACTCTTCCTTCCATGGCCGCAATCGATGCCACCATCGTAGCAGCATCTCAATCCCACTTGGTAGGGCTCCCCCGTACATGCCTGGTTGGCCGATTTGGGACTTGTCCGGAGATTGATGTTCCGCATAATTTCTCCGTGGATTAACTTGCACAAGAGTTACACATCTTAGGTGGCCCGCAAATCGACCAATCCCAATGCATGTTGACCCAACGGGACACAATGTTCGAGGGAGGAACTGAAACGGAAAGCGGTGTGTACTATAGCCAGTAAAGGTAGAACAAATCAGTAGTCCAGTATGGTATCGAGGGGACTGTTAGTGGCTCAGGCTGTAAGGACAGTCATCGAGCCTCAGGGTAGTCTCAGACATCCTTAGCTAATTGGCTTAGACGACGCTTTATCCATACGCTTACTCCTGTTGACGTATGAATTTTTCCTCCATGTTTTTGGGACTAGACATTTGTTCGCTTCAAGGCACTAGTTCTGGTTTTTATTACCTTGTTTAATGATTTGCGTCACCAATTTATTAGCACATCAAGGATTGCTTTCTTCAACTGCTTCCAACTCTTCTCGGGATCGTGACTGGCCGGGGGAGTTCCTGGGTCTTCGTACAGTCAGCCTTCAATCGTTAGTTACTACGGTTTGGTCACATTATTGTCTGTAGTGAAACATTTTGTCGAGAACTGCTGTCTGTAGTGCAAGCCCTGTATAGTGGCCCCTAAAGGCGGCCTAATTTTCCATTGAGTTGGGTGGGCGAAAGCGGATTTCGGGCGCTTAAGTTTAATTGGCAGTCGACTGTCCTTTTCCAATCAACAGCGGCCAGATTATGGAGCAGAAGGGGCAGAATGCCTTCGAAATCCTATGGCCACGATGGAGATGCACCGCAACTACCCCCCGCATGTTCTTTGCTCCTTTGCAGGTCACACGCCGTCGGGCGAGGGTGACAGTGAGTGTCACTCTTACCATTTACCTTATAGTGAAACTTCGTTGTCATTCACGCAATCCGTCCATCCTCCCGTAGATGTTAGCCGCAGAAAAACAATACAGTACTCTTCTTGATTCCTAGATCCATTATACGGGAAAAGTAGTGCTGTCGCTCCTTGTTTTATGTAGCAACTGTATAATACGCTGCTTAGTCATTCCGTACTTACTGCTAAACCGACCAACGAGAAGCAACTGCACTGCAGATGATCTACTGCCCCGACGAGAGGTAAAACTGTCCCTGGACGTTCCTCCGACTAGTAAAGGGATATAGTAGGTGTACATACAACTGCGGAGTGGCAAGGCATACGTAGATGACACGCCTGTAGTAAAAGTGTTCAAGAAATGGTAGTTCGACTGTGAGAAATACACTTCTACAGCTGAGCAACATGACCTGACAAGAAGTCCTGCCAGAATTCACGGATGCTCATGTCGTGAAACTCTACAAAGGAAAAGGAGGTAAGGCTTCACCCGACAATTATATAGCCACCAGTCTGCTGAGCCGCACAGGCAAGCTCCTAGCAAGGGTGCCACTCATGCACCTGACATTTGTGGCAACAAGGTTGCTGCACGATAGCTTCGAAAATCCCGCCAGACAGCGCCAGCTACTCCAAGCTCTCTTCAAAATTCCCCAAAGCCTTCGATTCTGATAACCGACGAGTTCTGCGGACATTTTCTACTTTCAGCTGTTGGCCAAAATTAGTCAAACTTATTAGAAGTTTATATTTCGGAATGCGGGCGAAGGCGTAAACGAATGGACTCCCATGAGCATAAAATAGAGTTACATTCATACCCCTTCTCGGTTAAATCTAACGGCCATCACAAATGCAGCATTAGCGAACGACGATGCTAGCGAACAGCATAAGTATCGGTTTGATGGACGCCGATTCATTATTAAAAGTCTCGGTACGAGGTGTCTGGTCTTCCAGATTAAGGTCCGCACACTGGTGGTAGATCAGATGGCAGTCGGTCTGCTCGATCAGCTGGCCAATTAGCATGCAAATGTTTTGTCCTCCGTCGGGGAAACATCGTCAGTGCGCACCCGAATGCGCATCCGCTGCAATAATCTTAGTTTTAGCGTGTTTTTGGATTTGCCTTTGTCAAAACCAAGCACCTTTCGCAGCCATTGCTGACTGGTAGATTCACATAACCAGTCACTAGATAGTCACACTGTCTGCCGTCCGCATGATAAGCTGGTAGGACTGGTGTGTGAGCTGACTCTGTTTGAAATTTTGACCAGTAGGTGGATAAGAGACAATCACGTTCTTCAGCCCTCGAAATTTGAGATATTAAAATTTGATGTAAGTGGATGACTGAAAGGCGGAAGTATATGTGCTCAGAGAACTTCACTTCCTGTTTTACAAAACAGGTACTTTCTCTGCTCTAGTGGTGATGAATCCTAGAGAGCATGTGTAAACTATCGTCCTCTACTAACATGCAAATATGAATCCGAATGGACGTTCAAGCAGCCAATTCAATACATTCGCAATGAATCGATGGAGACAAGTTTAGAACAGCAGGCTTGAGTCATGGTACCCAGAAGGAGAAGGAATATCTACCAAATCCACAAGAATTTAAGAGACCGGAAAGCCAAGAAGAGTTAAGAAAACTGGAACCATCTTTAGTGCAATTTTCTTTTGGTCAAATGTGATGATCATGGGGTTGTGGAGTTGGACGTTAAAACATGTAAACAAAAGGGACTCTACGCCTCATCTGTCAAACGCCAACGTAAACGCGACTGGTGAGACCCAAAAGGTGTAAACAGTTACCTAGAGTTCTACTAGTCGCAGTTGAATGGAACCACACAAAACAGATGGGTATGGTAAAAAGAGTAAGTGTTCAACAACACAAAATGTAAATTTGTTTGAGAGCAGGACTAATTAGTGCGCTGCCTTGCTCGACGTCAACCACAAACTGAACTCAGTTTCAACTCACGCCGTTAAAATCTACAAGAGGCTGCCAATCATGGCGAATTCTGCACCATCGTCACAACAAACACAAACTCTGTTCTCTTCGAGTTGTAAATTCCGCTCAAAAACGGCAACCAGACAGAGTTCACTTATTGGTTTCCGCCATCCCGGAGCGAAAACGGTAAGCAGATTACATGAAGTGTCATCTGCAATTACAGTAAGTGGCAGGCAAAACCCAAGCGGCAAGAACCCCGTACCCCCGATTCACCACATGAAAGATCGCACGATTACTACCACGACAACGCACAGAAGAGCATGGTGCAATTGTGAGTAGGTCACTCTACAAGCGGTGCAAACGATAATAATATTTGCTGACGAAAATGGTACCGCGGGCATGATAGGAATATTGATAAGTGAACAGTCCACGTGAAATAAAATCTCAGGCCATACAATATCAATGTTCGGGGTTTGATGACCCGGCACGTGCAAAATTAAGTGGAATAGACTTGGCCTACTTCTGTGAGCTGATTACGTAACAGAAGAAGCTGCTGAAACATGGATTCGGTCATATAAGTGCAACCTGCTATCGTTGGCTATTCTAAATATTGCCTTTCGGTTCTAATCCAACAGGATGTAGCTAGAGCGTAAGCACGGAGACATGTGCTTGATAAGGGATTCGGAAGAGTTCAGTAACATAAAACAGTGGGGTTGAGAGTCTTTTGTACTGGCGTACGCGTGGATGCTGAAACGCGGCAATCCTGCCGGGAGGTCAACTCAGAAAAGGAAAGTAAGTGAAGAGCTACTTTTGTTGAGTGGGAAAGGTGTTGCGGACTCTTCAGGAAAATAGCACAATCCGCTGGAAGGCACCTACCTCCATTGGAAATGAAGACTGCATTGAGAAGAGAAAGCTGTCCACGTCTCAACCGGGAGATACTTTAAGAAAAACAGAGCTTACTATTAAGAAAATATTGGTACCCTATTGGAGATGACCGATGCAATGGTTCCCTGCAATTTGATTGCAAGTGTCTTGTTACTAATTGAGGTAACTATACATATGTAGTAAACTGGCGGTGCGTCTGGATGGATGATAGCCTAGTTTAGGTTTATGGTGTCACCCCCATTAGTAACGAAACGTTTAAATCCAGACTGCGAATTTCAGCAAACAGACCAACGAGTGTATCGTCCCAATTATATTGAGAAAACCAAAGGAAGCGAAAATGCGCAGTACAAAATTAATGGAACTATGTCACCCGTGAAAACCAAGCTCATCGTCTGTAGATGACGTTCGGCTATCGGCACTATACGTTCTACACTAAATCATGAGTGCATGCTTTGCGATCGACGCCTATCTCGTCACTTTTTATTCATTTCATAACAAAAGGACCGAAAAAATCCGGCACGTTTCGGGAACACACTTACCGACAGAGCCGAACACTAATGTTAGGTACGAAAAACAATGAAATACGTGCGAAGGTGACTATGAATGGGTGTGAACGAATCTGCTTATCTCCACTTGGGGACGATAGAATGGGTAGGACGACTGTAAACATTCGATTTCCAAAAACATTGCAATATCAGAGATTGTTTCTAGCCAGTTATGATGTCGATTTTGGGGTGAAAATGTTAGCATGATGATGATAGCATGAGGGGATTTTCGAATTTCAATAGGGTTGCATCACGCAATCCAATCTAGGAAAAAAAGGTGTGCAGCTGTTTCATTCATGATGAGAGCCATCAAGAGTGCACATCTCACAAAGTTCAAGAGACGTTCAAACTCGCGGCCTCCTGTTTAGCAGTTACTGGCTATGGCGTTCGTGTAGGAGGGAAATGCTAGTGCATTGGTATTTATATAGGAGTCGCCAGCTAACAACCTGGAGAGCTATGAGACTGTACGATTCAGACCTCTAACCACTGACCAGTCTTGCATGAGACTGTCGCACGGACACCACTTAGTATGACCCAATGAGTCACTAAGGCACGTAAGCCACGGCACCACAGTAAGGTCTAATCTCTTCGTCACAGTATGTTGTATGGAACACTCAGCGCAGATGCCTGGTGGGTAGATCTTAGTTGAATAGTGGAATTTTGTGGACATTTTATATAACATTACTTACAACGTTGATGAAAAATCCGGAACTATCGGTTTCACCCGTTTTGGGGCTTATCACCTACGTCATCAGCTTTGTCTTGGATTCCCAAAACTAAGTTGGGGTTGGAAATCGCTTGACTTCGACTTCAGGTCGACTTCAAACTCAGAGTAAACAGTATAGAACATCCCTCCAGATAAGATGCTGGTTCCTTACAAAGCGATCCACTGATAAACCCCATTCTAGAATAAACCACTTTCGGTCGCATCTTAAACCAGTCTTTGAATGGGGCGGAAAATATCGGTCCGAATTAAAAAAAAGGTTAAAGAAGTAAATTTTATTTCTTATAAATATGGAGTACGGCGTCAACCCAATAAAACTAGCTGTCAAGTTAGAAAATGAGCAATGAAAGCAGAATAGGAACGAATACGTGTGGCGTTATAAATAAGTCGGGCGATAGCCTAACCTCTTACTCAATAAGTAACCTGAGAATCACATAGATGGATAACCACGAAACCAACGTAGTTATTCACGTAGTTTAACTTCTGGGTTTTTAGCACCCATGTGGGCAGGTGAGAATCTGGACATAACAGGATCGAAGAAACGTACGAGAGGGTCGAAACACAGTGAATTAATAAGGACATGAAGGTCTTCATTGAACTAGCAAGTCGATTGAACCAATCCGATTCCCACTGTTGTATGAAGGGTAAGGTTCTCTGTAGACTCATTTCTGGGATATGCCCTAATGGCCAATTGCGAAGGTCGTTCTTCAAACACGACACTGATACCATGGCCCTTTTACCAACGCTAAAGTGAAAGTCGCTTTGGATTCCAGACACAGAGGTAGTCATAAGTACAAGATTGCGGACAATCGATGTTTCCGAGACTAGTTCGAAACGGCATCATTTTATTTCCTCCCTTCTAAAAAAAACATCATTTAACACTTGAAAGCAGTCATGTAAAGGTGTCAGAAATTCGTTCATCTATTATTAGTATGGATTTCCACGGATTATGGCGCTTTAACTGAAGGATAGTCGAGTTTAGTATTATGTAGTGCCCCTGTCACGAGATGCCATATGTACGAACCATTTAAGGTGATTCCTCGGAAGGATTATATTCCATTCCAAGTTGCGGTCTCAGGTTCAGCGTTTCTTTTAGGTCACTTTAACACCAGTCTGCACGTGGTCATTCGCAAAAGCTGCAATACGACCGAAAGGGCGAACATGCCCTCCGTGAGTGTATTTCGCTAATTTCGTGCGATTCGGTTTCAATTAGAACATAAGCTTGACGGAAACTCGGGACTGTGCCTACCTGATGAGACTCAAGAACGAGACCAGTCGTGGGCTGTCGAAGAATTTTCAGCAACTTTATGAGTAGTGCTTACCGAAGTTATGGGGAGTTATCGTTGCCATAAATGTACGTCTAATCACCACATCAAGTTCAAGTTAGTCTTGTCCATTTCATCTGTATTGGTAGTGTGACCAACACTCGCTGTCTACTTACCATTGGATTTCTACAGTAACTGTTTTGTTCCCGCCTGAAAACGTCAAGTCTAGGTGGGCCTTTCAGAGACTGCGAGGCAAATGGTACATTTAAAGGTCTCCTCTACCCTCTGAGACAGTAAGCACTAGTTTTCCATAGTTGAACCAGCCAAAACAAAACTCTGGTTCCTAGTTGGGCACAGAAACGGCTCTTTTGACTGGTGACATTCAAATCATGTGATCATGACAGCCTAATCTCGAGGATTGTAATTAGCTGGCTCTCGAGTGAAAGCTGCTTTCTAAAAAAAACTCAAAATATCAAAGTACTTCTGGATGAATATTTCCAGTAAACTAGAGAGGAATAATTTGACAACAAGGATGGCCAAACACTGTACAGTTTTTTTTAAGTCTTCTATTTTCTTATCATTTACGACTATTGTTGACTCGACTGGCAGAAGGTACAATGATCTCACGCCCACGACTCAGATAACCGATGCTTATGCAGCAGTGTAAATAAACTAGAAAATTGAATGCAGTTGATTTAGTGGAGTTTTTATGCAACAAAAAGGCTCACGGTGGTAATCCGGATAAACGCATCTGAATCAGTTGAATACGGGAGTTGTAATAGGATAAAGAATGTCAGAAAGAGTTCATCAAATTGGATAGTAATAGGTGAGTCATTTAACCGTAACACCCTCTCGGTGCTACGCCATCCATAGGAAGTACGGGTGCTGAAATATTGCCGAATTGACCAAGTAGCACTTGACGCCAGCAATCAAGATGCCGAACCACAGATCTCACGGTCTCGCACCCTAATTACTGAGCTAAATCGAGCCCGGTGATAGTTATAATTGAATTAGAAGAATTAAGTAATTAATTACGTGGATGAGTATGGTCGATCCAAGATAGTTAAGGGGTTCGCCTGTGTTCTCAGTATTAGTCTGATTATTAGCCGTATTAGACGCACACTTTCACAGATACGTTGGTCACAATGCAGCAACTTCCAGCCGTACTGTCTGGTTCCGGTGAGTCTTAGATTTCCTGGGAAGATTTTACACGGGCAAGTGTCGGAGCAACAATTGCAAGTAACAAACCAATGAGATGTACGGTGAATCCCAACAAAGTAACAGAGGACGAGGTTAGGAACTGGCGATACTAAGAAACAGCTGCGCAACAGGAAAAAGGGTTAGAAAAACTGCGCTACGACAAATGCGAATTTTCAAGAATAAAGAAAGGCATCTAAGTCGAGTGTTGAGGACAAGTTGGAGGAGGGCATAAACTGATATAGTACACCCGTTAAAGGCGCTTAATACGAACAAAAACCCGTCAGAAACCCGTCAGCTGGGTTTTTCGTATGGTGTGCGTCTGTCATGAAGCCTGATAAAACGTTTAGGCCTGTATTGAAGACTTTTACAGGAGGTTGAACTCGAGGACTTTATTCGGAACCAAACGGTTTATTCACCAAGCCTCAAGTACAATCCAAATAGGATGCACCTAAAATTCTAACACCAAAACGGATTAAACTACGATGAAATCGCTGCTCACTGAGTAAAAGAAGTCACCTGTGGGTTGGGTCGAAACAAGTCCGTAGTGAGATTACCACCAGTAGTTGTTGGAAACGTCATTTAGGATTTTCAAATGAACAAGCTTGCTTTAAGCACAGTAAATTCAACACTCGGATTCCGCCCGGATCCCCCGGTGAAATGCTCCAATGCAAGCTGCTACCATGCAGTCCTGCTGAGGAATTCCCACTCACTGCCTCACTATAGGATAGGGATCCCAAATAGGCGAAAAGCCAGAAGGAATATCATGCACTATAGCCTGGCTGACGGTCCAGTGACTGTCTGTAGAGCGCAGATGACAAAAATGCTGATTTCCAACTGGCAACATGGAACACTTGAAAACAGCTCTCAAGTAGATTCAAAAATGGGCCAAAAAACCGAGACAACAGATCTGTTCGGCATTTCTTCATAACTTGCTACCAAAGATGTCATAGTTGGTTTTGAAAAGGCTGGAGATTTTCGTTCAAACGAAAACTGTGTGCTTTTCGAAAAGCTGGATGACGCATACCCGAAAAACGTCCTTGTCGGATGTTGGACCAACTCTGGATGTTGGTAATCAGGCTACCATTTGCTAGCTGTGTAGTTATGCTGTCACCTTTTTGTGCTCGTCAGCACCTGTTGAATCCAAGTATTTGGTACGGACAGCCATTTCTGGTTTAATCACACAGGTCCAGAGCAAGCTCCCAAGAAATTGTCTTCGAAACGCTTTAGTTCTAGTTGAAGCGATACATTCAGGAACTGCTAAAGCCTGAACTAAAAGTTGTTCGTTCCACATTGCCATCGTGGTCATATATGTACATGCCAGGCTACGCAAGGCACACCAGAGACGGACGTTGCACCACACTGCATGTAGCTTTTGAAAAAACAAGAGCAAAATTCTAACAATGCAGTAACTGTAGGACATACTGGGCCATATGGTATATCAACGAGTTCTGTGGTTGAAAAGTACGCTTTAGGCCGCATTGGCGACAGGTTTGTCAGCTTTACTGATTCTCGCTTTTTTCGGAGAGGATCACACAACCCTGTGAGCAAAGTTCAGGCCCTGTCCGAGGGATCACTGCTAGACCGGTCCTTAAAATACACGTCTGGATTACTCGGATAAACACAAAAATCTGACTGGCGTAATCAATGAGAGAAAATTGGTGCCCTGCTTTGTGATGATGCGAAAACTTAGTACGCGCGTCAACAATCGAGATAAATGATGCCTCTACCAGCCGACTTGAAAGTGCAACATTCAGAGAGAACTGGATTTCGATTGACACTATGCAGTTACGTAGACGGGCCAGAGGAACGAATATCCAATTCACCAAAAGGTCACATCCTGAATCCAAGCAAGTCTTAAAGAAACGACCGCAAGGGCTATCCGAATGACCCCTTGGAAGTCGCATTGAATATTGGGGACCAGGTAAGGCTATTTCACCTACTGTGACAAGGCCCATGAGAAGCCATTGACGACAAAAATTGGGAACTTTCCCAGTCCGCCGAACAGCCCCGACAACCCTACATGTTCTTCTCTCAAATACATCGTCGCACAATCCAAACTATGATCCTCCAAAGTAACGCCGAGATCACCGGACAGTTGAAAGTCCCAAGGCCTGGGACAAAGAAGGAATCGCCGCAGAGATGCACAAGTACGTGCAGCTATCCTGCTTGCCCCACTTCACGGTTTAGTCTACTATTTATAGAATAGCGAGGCTTTCCCGTCTAGTGGTAGCAGTTCTGCCTTCCCCAAATAGAGGTGCACAAATCGCCGCGCCATGTTTATCAAACAAATGTACTAGGGAAATCCAAATCTGGAGTGTTTACCACGTACGCAAAGACAAAGTCAGGGGAATCTCGTGGAACTAGTACTGGGAGTAGGCGATGAAATGACAACAGATGAATCGGCATCAAGTTCCAGTTTCACCCATTCGTGTAAAGGATTTTATTTGGTTTTAGCGAGAAGTTAGACTTAAAATCACAGCCGAACAGCAATTCCTATTTGTAATGTACTACTCATAAGGTTGCTGAAAATCCATCGACAGCCCACGACCGGTTTCGCCCTTCTTGGGGCTCATCAATTCCTGTTGTTAGCTCACCACCAAACCACCAAACTAAATGCCGAACAAAAACCTACCGACCATCACCAGACATTCTGAATGAACGTGTGCGCACCCAAAGCAAGCCAGGATAAAACGGATTGAAATGAAGAAAAAAGACTTCACTGTTCAACGATTTTCTTTTGCGCACACGCCCGCCACGACGATGGGCTACATAGACTGAAACGCACATGACCACAGTGTGGCTGAAGTTATCGGAACAGTCGATCTAAGGGAATACAAATGCGGAAAACCGGACAATGCATGTGAAGAGTGACGAATGAGAGTGCCTGCTTACCAAGAGCCAATAGGTGAGCGACCGAGTCCTCTCAAAAAGCGGATAGGTAAATGTGCTAGATGGGTCAGTTAGGAGGGCAGCATGCCCATTGAGTAAGGAGGTTGAGATGTCTCATCACAGAAGTCAGTTGCAGCATAAACCGGATACATTACCAAGAAAGATCTGATTTCAGGCGTGATCGATGAGGACAGGTCAGCGTTATCCAATGGATCAACGAGAGAAACAGTGTAGTCTGAAGGAAGTGGATGAGGCCCTCTTTCAGCAGATGAAGGGGGGGTTAATGGAAAGCAAGGTGGACGACCAGAAGATGGGGATGTTGTGCACGGAGTTGTAACACAGGGACTGGGCAACATGCAACGAAAGATGGACACATGGGGAGTAAAATCAAGCAGTAGGAGATAGCCTAGACAGGTTTCATACGTTACTGGTACCGGTCGAAACAGAGCACAGAAACTAAGATAGGAACAGGCAAACCTTGAGGTGAACCAAAAATAGGTTATCAAAATCTGAAGAGGAGATGGAGTGATGAATGGAGGTTTGTGCTTGGAGCAGGAGGGTTGCGTGTGTGTGACGGGGGGAGTTGTGTGTGGGTCAGGGATTACAAGTAGCTGGCTTGGTCACCAGGGCAGTGAATCCGTTAAAAGTTGGGGCGTACAAAAACAAGCCCAGGGGCGTGTCACTTCTTCGTAGCTTTCACAAATTATAGCTGTATACGGATGTCGCGAATGCTCCAGGAGAAAGTGCGGTCCATAATTCGATCTCAGGACAGATCAAGCATCCCCATGACAACGACTAATGATGAAGCACGAAAGTGACGGTAGCTAGTGGTGGAAAAAGTGATAAAGTGCACAATTAATGGGTATTTCACAGAACAACCAAAACACTGAAGCTGCAAAGCAGTGGTAGACAACTAAAGCAAGCAGATTTAGTCAGAAATGAAGATATCCGTTTGGAGTTGAATAAGCGAGAGGACCCTCAAATCGGCCCGCAAGTGTTTCTCAGGCACCGCTCAGACCTGATGGAAACGTTGAATGAAGAATGGTCAAAAGAGCATTGGTGGTTGAAAATTTTTGTTAAACTGTGTATTCTGAATGGTCATACTCATTCAGGAGCTCGCTCACCCAATCATATACAGAAAGGAATGAACCAAAAAACGACAAACCCTATATCTGACGATCATGAGGAATAAACACAGTCCATTAGTATCTGTCATCCTGCAGAATAAGAATCACAGGATGAAGCAAAAACTGGCAAAAAGCTTCCACAGCTTCGGCAGCAAGGATCGCTTGCATCCGAGATTTCGACTTTGATATGGACAATTGGTGTCAGCCATTCAAGCACGATGTCCCTTTCAAAGCATTCACCTGGTTACTTCCAGTACACAAGAATATCGGGCTACCTAGAACTGGATAACTCATAACTCAAGAAGCGAACGCACTGATCGGAAGGTGCACAGTTCGAACCTAAAACTAGCTTCTCGAATGCTGACCTCCAAAGCTGGTCAATCGGGTAGCAGTCTCAGTCGATCCATTTCGCTTCGCCGAGGAACTCATCACTCCTATGGGTCCGACAGATATAGTTGGGCATTCCATTTACTTCCAAGGGGAAAAGGGTCTTCATCCACCGATAGCACCTGTTCAAACTGTTCGAAGAAGTGACGCGTGCCCCGTTGAAGCCGCATCAAAGAATGGATATCACGAGGAACTACCTGATACCGAAGCTGATATATTCACTCGTGCTCGGCCAGGTTCACTGAAACATGCTCAAAAGATAGACAACTACATCGGGCTACGTCTACCGAAGGACACCCCGATCAGCTGTAACCACGTCGATAAAATACAAGGGGGACTTGGTGTCCCAAGTCTGAGTGCAATAATCCCGATGCATGCAAGAACGCGTACGGAAAAGCTCCTTTCTACTCAGTGCCGAGTACCACGCAATGTGGCCAACGATTCCGCATTCGGCAAAAGTGTTCGGGATCTCAGCCTTCCGATCCGAGTCCATGGTGCAAGCGTAAACACCAAGGAAGAGCTGGTGGCTGCTTGGAGTGATAGTCTGCACAACAGCGTTGATGGTCGCGGTTTACGAGAGTTGGTCACTTCGCCTCTCTCGAATCGATGGCTCGTATTTCCAGAACGAGTGTTTCCTCGGATATTTATCCACCGTATCCAACTCCAATGCAACCTGCTCAGGACGAGAGTTAGAAGCGCCCGGCATGGTCATGGTGGCCAGACGATCTTCAATTACCGAGCACCTAGTCATCTACTCTTCACTAAAGTTTGTTGTTGAAAGGATGGCATGATTTCATATGGTGAATACCGGGGGCCTCAACAAATCCAAATCGCTTTTAGTTGGTGGAAAATCCTGTAAGCTGCAGTGCTTACATACACTTCATACCGATTCCTGTTTCCAGATACGGTGGTGCGGCACCTGTATGAAACGTGAATTTTACCCTGGGTGAAGAATGGCGCAGCTTCTGCGTATTCTCTTTGATGGTACTGGATGATGATGAATGATGCTGTGAAAACAGTTGAGCGAATCCTCTCGGGTGATATCGCCCTCCTACCGCCTCGGATTTGCAGCTGTCATCGACCTGGAAAGATCAAGCACTTGTAATCCAACCAACGCATGTTTTGTGGCCAGTCTGCCGGCACCAGTATGACGGACACTCTGTGCCTGATGTGCGAGTCGTAACTGTGCTAGCGCCTACCGCACCTTAAAGAGCATTCACCATTGTTTTTCTTTTTTTCGGTTGTTGGTCTTTAGACGCGTGTTTCCATACCAAAATCTATACATACTTTGGGATTCACCTCATCAGATTGGAACTGTTCTTGGCATGATTTCGAATGAGACGTTTCTCTCTTTTCTCCCATATTCTCCCATTACCATTTCGCATTCATCGCTTGTATTCACTTTTTATGTTTGTAACCATGCTCTTCAGTATCCAAAGAATCACTGATCTGTTCATAACCATTGGCGACCTAGAAAATAGTGATTGTACATCATTCATAAGAAAAATGGCCCAGAGTAGGCCGTAAAGCAAAACGATCAAAAAGGGACCTTACACATTTACTGCCTTGTCACAAAAGTATGTATGTAATTGGCTGAGAACTGCGGTGCTTCTTACTTCTATCGGAAGAAATATTGTCCATAACGAGACTCTTATATAACGTCGTGTAGAAGCTATGCCCACCAGCTAAGAACAAACATAGCACATACAGTCATATAAGATAAAAAGTAGACAGTTGAATGGCATCTCGGAAATCAGCTTACGAGATCAGTTTCCACAATTTGATCTGGCTTCTGTCAAGCGATTACGAACAAGGAATTTTGCAAGACATTCAGCTACCTGAAATGTGAGAGAAGAAGAAAAGAAAAAAAACTGTCAGATCAGATGACACAGGATTGACAGTTTATGCGACACCACTACTATTCAATGTGCAATTTCTTCTAACGGCAGGCAGTAGCAGAGTTGGGCCGAAGTAACCATATGCATTCTTCCGCCGACGAAATTTTAATTCACGAGCAATCCTACCCAAGTTACAACACGTGAACAAGTGAAAATTTATGAGAAGACTAGATCAAATCACAGGTAGTCGAATCGCAAACTTTGGAAGTTCAGGTGAAGTGTCTCTCAACTGGACAGCAAATGAATTTGGAAAATCTCTATGAAATGTCGGAGTGATCTGGGAGCTGCATCGGTAGATGTACGCCCATATTGAATCAAGGTACTTCTGTGCAGAATGATGAAAATGCAGAGATTAGAAGCTGCCTTCTGGCTCATAGTCGTGGGATTAGGTGTTTGGTCGCAGCTGTACGTACGCTTGAGAAACTTTGTCGCGCGGTAGAGTAATCTCATTCTGATGGGCAATGTGCACATCACCAGAGCTAGATGGAAGTGAATCCACCATCCGCGACTCCATTCAGCGGGGCGACAACCAGGAATCAGAACATCATGTCAAGCGGTTCAAAATGAGCTCAGAACGTTTCCATACCATCTAGAAGCAAATAGGCGAGATCGGAGAGCAAGTACGATTTTCTTCTGTGGATGTTTTGCAAGAATTATTTATTCGACAAAAGTTGAAGAACTACAGGCTTCCGCTGCGGACCGAGCGGCCAGAAAATCTTGATTCTTTTGTCCCGTTACAGAGGTGAGAATTTTCGTGCCAACCGTAAAGTCGCATCGGAAAGCTCGGCAAAGTGCCTTTGGAAAGCCGTGTTCCAAAGTGCAGGAGAACGATGACATGGTGTTCATCGATCTACTCAGAGTTGACAAATCATCGTATCATATTTAGTACAGCATTCGCAGCTTCAATGTGGGAACACGTAGCAAATTTGGAATAGAATACGAAGCCTGAAACCGAACAACGATTGCTCCCCAGTTTTGGGCATAACACACGTTTTTTTTGGATCGCAATCATCCAAGTATAGCGGAGTTAACTGAGAGACAATTTGTCCAACTACACAGATAAGTTTACACTTTGCAATTTCGGAACAACCTGCAACTGTAAATCACACAACCATTTCATAGGCGCACCGCTGAATGGAATTGCCACTCAAATGCATCACCCTCAAACCTTCCTCTCGATCTCGATACATCGCCGTAGAGCTGTACAGCTGGTACGGTAAACACTTCGTTAATATCACACGAATATTGCAACAACAAGAACTGGTTGTTTGTTAAGTAGTGTCGATGATTTGCGGACAGGAAAACGGTTGCTCAATTGTTTAGGAAGAGTTCAGAAGGCTTCACGAATATAGTGGCGGTATCTATAGAGGAAAATGTTGGCAGGTCAGGTAGCGTAGATGGTCGTTGGCTTGTTCGCTGAGCTGGGAAATATGGTTGCAAACGTTTCATCACCGATCGAAGTGAAATGATTAGTGCGTTATTGGGGAGCGTAGTGGTGCGTAGCGGTGGGTTAGTGGTTGTGCGGTTTCAAGGGTTCGTTTGAAAACGATTGTTCACAGAGAAACCGTATCTGGAGGCGCGCGTCGCCGGAAGATTCCAGGAAACCAAGTGCTGGGGCAATGCAGTCAACATTTTCCACATTTAATTTTTGGTGACATCCAAACACAACGGGTACAAATTGAATGAAGGGCAGGAGTCCGAAGATGACAAACGAAGGAATGCCAAAATAGCGCCATACTACCAAATGGGTAGCAGTATGACTCGTAATTCCCATCGACCGTGGGTTGTTTATTGAAGTTGTCACGGCCACTTGGCACACGAGGACGATTGTACTGATGGTCGAGCAACCTCCAAATCCAAAGTTGTGCTTGAAAGTGTCGTGGAAATGTAGGAGACAACCAAAAAATGCGTCCAGTATAGATCAGATGCGTCCTCAGTAAAATCGTCTATGAACACAACCAGTTAACTGAGTATTGATTTAACGATAGCTTGTAAAACTGTCGCTATTACAGCGTTTCTCTTCGGTTCTGCCATTACCCTTGTGTACACGACCTCACGTGTATGGTACGGTTGCACAGGACTAGGTGAGACGTGACCCCCAAATACCTTGTTTCTGTGTTTGATTCCGTCCAAATACTTGGCATTCACCCGAAAGTAGCTGCGACGTTCACGTACATTGTATGTGATTCCGGTAAGGATATTGTCATCTGTTCCAGACGATGTCCCATGTGAAAGCTTCACATGAATTCAGGTTACCGCCAGTCAGCTTAAAGTACGTTTTTATCGAAATTCCGCTTCTTTATTTTTGCCAACATTTACTTTTCACCTAGTTCTTCAAATTCACATGGCAACTTGTTCGGTGACGCTGTACCTACTAACGCAGGTTCCTTGCTGACCCTTTCTCTACACTCACCTCAGACAGCTGTAACTATGTTGACACCTTCTTGACTTCCTTGAAACTGCATAACCATGCTAGTTTCCCAACACCATACGACGTGGCTCTTGAGTTTCCCTCTTCTGACCCAGTATCTTCTCCATATTGGACATATGTTTATTAATTCGTCAACTGGTATTTCGAAGGCATTTGGATGTCTGGATGTTCCATTCAGCCTTTTATCCGGTAAGCGTTATCAAAACCACTGCGATTCTTTACAAGGAGTCACAGCGGGTGACCAAACCATCTTCATAATTCGAGGTTGTCAAGTCCCTAGATATCACAAACTTTCCTGGTCCAGCTTTGATAGGGACGAATCGCCTCACATTCTATTCTTTGCATCGAAGAATTATTTCTGTTTCCCGTGAACTCCGTGCGCAAACACTCTTGGTTGCACGCATCCTCCCGCATCCGTCGCACAACTGCCCCTAAACTTCGACTGCCCAACAACCCCACCCCCACCAACTGACTTCCTGTGTATTCTGTTCTGTTCCATCGTTAATTACCACATAGTACTTTGTAAAAATACTTGACCACGGGCTTATCACAGAAAATCCATCCAACAACTTCCCGATTTCGGAACTTAATGTTGATTTGAATGGACTTGACCGAACTTGAAATGCATTCATGTTTGAGATGCGAGCGACGCACGAGTAATCCCCACACACCTTACCGTCGATGGATGATGAGACGCCGATGAGAATCTGAAACAGATTATTTCCAACTGAACTCGATATGATACAAGGGACGCAGACGGGGGTGACACGGATCTGCATATTTTTTGCACTAGGACCCACCGAATACCTAAGCCCGTTACACGGGTAGAAGAGAAGGTTACTAAACTGTAAGAACTTCAAAATCCTCCGAGGTCCTGTTGAGTACTATCACACAGTTTCAACCAGACTGGGCAGGGAAAACGCTGTCTGCTTGGGTGATGTCACTCCTCTCTCTGAAGACTCTAAATGTAAAGGTCTGAATGGGCAGGAAATGGGCAAGGGAACTGTCTCACTGGAACCACACTGTTAGCGAATAACGAAATAAGCCCAGGCCCTTGTGTACGTTCAAGGAAGCGTGACGCTAGACCGACGTACGACTGTTTACCACAAACGCTCTACACAAGTGTTGTGGGCAGTGATGATGCGCACTGAACATACTTTGGGTGTACTAGTTAATGAAATATGAGAAAATTCAAACTCAACCAGGCGCTGTTTCAGAGAACTGGTACGTTTTTTCTCGGTATCCAAGGTCGGAATTGCTGGCGTTCGTTACGGTGGCGGTCTGTTAACGAAAAGGTGATTCCCACAATGAAGATGAAATCGATCGATCTAATGACATTTTTTGGTTTTACATTTATATGAGTGAACTATGCAAGGGTATTTTTAGGTTCAGCCGTTTATTTGGCGGTGTTTCTGGCCGGCTGTCCCAACTGAAGGTCAACGGAATGCAAAACAAACGCCAACAGATGGTCACAAGCCAAGTAACAGTTAATGCGTACAGTTTTACGAACGGTCTTACTTTCTCTGGTGCGTCCTCTTGGACTGCATGTCCGCATTTAGGGAAGACATGTACCTGGAATTTGCCTAGAACGTGTGGGAGAAAAAAACAAAAGGGGAAAGTCAACAATGTTACGAAAAAACATCTGCATGAGGGAGACTTTTTCAATATATATATATATATATATATATATATATATATATATATGTGTACTT